CAAAATTTTAAGCCAGTTACACAGCTTTGCAAACTCCAACTGCACTGTGTAGCTGGTGCCAGGATAAATAAAAAGCGCTCCTTTTTCTTTAAAAAAAGACATCTTGCCCCCTTTTTTGGACAACATTTTGGAGTCTTGTTTTTGGGGTACAACACATGGTCACCAGGCTGCTGTGGTCCCCACCTTCATCTCCTCCCTCTAACCCAGTGCTACCCAGAAAGGAAGTGTTATCTAAAAAAGCCTTAGAGCAGGCCCTGGTTGAAATTATTTTTATGAATTTCTTCATGATGAAAGTCTCTGAGGAGTTACTGACCATTTCAGAAAGACAGGAAGACAGTTTTCAATTCCTAAGTAACTTCTAAGTAAAATGCTGGTAAGTTGCATGATTACTCCAGTTCTCCAGACCTGGAAAGTAACTCAGGTACATAAAAATGCATCCAAACTCACCCTTGGGACAAAAGCCTTTGTGGCACCGCCCGCCTTTTTGCTCAGAGCTGAAACTTCCTCTACTTCCCAACAAACTACCCACACTTCTGTACAGTCCATGCATCTGGACTGAATTCTTTCACCGAGGACCAAGGAAGTGAGGGACCAGCTCCTTGCTGTGCCATGACTCACTTTCCCAGTAAGTCTTTCTCCATTTAAACTCATTTGGAGGTGGGCCAGGGATCTAGCTCAGTGGCATAAATGCCTGCCCGGCAAACATCAGGTCATGAGTTTGATCCCTGATCCAAAACAAAACAAAACACAAAACTCATTTCAAGGCTTAATTCCTCACTGCGGCAGTGTTGGGGTGAGCCTGAAAGAGGTATTTGGACGGAGCGGGCAGAGCTCTCCGGGCTGGACTGGCACTGTACAGGGAGGGAGTCTGCAGTCTGGGGGGACTAGACTGGTTACTGCAAGAGCCGGCTGTTCATGGCAAAGCTGCCCCTTATGTTTGCCCCTCCACTTTCTGCTGTGCACAGAGCAGCACAAGGCCCTCAGGAGAAGCCAGGCAGGTGTGGCCAACTGACCTTGCACTTCTAGCCTTCAGAACTAGAGCTCAGTAAACTTTTGCTTATAAATTGCCCACCCTTGGATGTTCTATTAGAGGAACAAGGATAGACTAAGGCACTTCCTTAAGTGAGGGCAGCAGCAGAAATCTTTGAGACAAAGTCTTGCTCATCTTGAATTCACAGTAATCCTCCTGCCTCGGTTTCCTAGTGCTGCCAGTTTATTATAGCGCAGTTTATTATAGCACATGTTTAATTGTTTCATTTTGTTATTGTTAACATGAGACTGAGACTGTGGGAGTATGAGATTTAATTTCGTCTAGGTATCAGCAGGCTGAAATCGGAGTGATATCAGCAAACATCTGGAGGGGTGGCTAAGTATATATATGGATGGGGGGTGGGTGGGAGTGTGGTCCCAAGGGATGTGTTATACCCCAAAAACGAGCTCCCAAAATGTCCAAAAAAGGGGCAAGACATCTTTTTTAAAGAAAAAGGAGCACTTTCATTTATCCTGGCACCAGCGACACAGTGCAGTTGGAGTTTGCAAGGCTGTGTAATTGGCTTAAAATTTTGACAGACTTTTATAGAAAGAACAGTAAAGAAGCCCTTTGTTTCCCTTTGCTGGAGGGCAGAGAAGTTTTGCAGGAATTTATAATCCTTGGTCAGCTAAGGAATGAGGAAGACCTTTGTTTTCCTTTGCTTGAGGACAGAGAAGATTCCCAGGAATTTACAGTCTTTTGTCAGCTAATTTTAGCACTTAATTTTCAGATAACATCTGTCCTTTGCAGAGGGGGAACAAAGGTTCACATATCATCAGGTCACCTGGAAGGAAGATGGTGCATATAGAACAGTATGATGGAGCTACAGTTATTTTACAGCAATGTTGTCAGTGCCCCAGGGAGTCTGGTTGTATAAAATAGTTGTGTTTGCAAAGGGAATTAACAGGTAATTTGGTCATATAACTTGGGCATTGGCAAACATAGCAAAGGATGATGAAGCTCTTTCTGTTAGTGTACAGCAATCTGGATGGAATGTCAAAGCTGCAAGTTGATCAGCACAGGTGTGGGAGTAAAGCTCGGCCAGGGAGACTGCAGACTCAATCCTGTCTGCTGAGGGCAGCATGGATTCCTATTGTTTGTAGAGGACACCACATTTATTAGAAAGGTCTTTCTCAGTGAGGCCTGACAGTTCTTAGCTACCATTAATCTCTTATTGAGCTCAATTTATCAATTAGGCATTGCCATAGGTAAGTGTGCATGGGGGGAAATGTGGAATGCACAGGTTTGGGACTCTATGGAGTTGCAGCCATCCACCGTGTATTAGTCACCGTTGCTCACTGGGACAAAATATCTGACACCTGAAACTTAAAGGGAGGAGAGATCCAGTTTCACTCACGTTTTCAGAAGTTCCATGGCTGGCTGGCTCTGAGGTAAAAACAGTGTGGCGGAAGGGCATGTGAAGGGGAGTGGCTCAACCCACAGGAGCCAGGAAGCAGCGCAGGGAAAGAGAGCCAGGGACCAGCCACAGTCCCCAAAGATGGAAATGCCTTGACCCACTGGACACACCCGAAGTGTGTCTTGCTAATCTAGCTATCTGTCTAGAACCCAGCAAGGTGACAGCCAAGCCCAGCTATCGCATTCCATCTAAGGTCAACGTGACACTGATACACATTTCCTTAGCCACACTTAATCTCCACAGAAAGACAGAACAAGGTCAGAGTTCTGCTGATGTGAGGTGAGCTTTCCTAGGTGCAACCAAAACCATGCTAATTCCTTCTGCAGCAGCTCAGCTGTCCCAGCACTGCTCAAAAGTCCCTCTAAAGTCTGCTCTGAGACACATAGCAAACTCACTGTGAGCCCCTGTAAAATCCACACAGCAAAATGAAAAAAAATCCAAAATGAAGCAAAAATAAAGAAAAATCTAAACAGCAAGACAGGCATGGCGCACAGGCACACAGCTGTGATCCCAGCACTTGGGAGAATGAGACAGGAAGATTGCCAAGAGTTCAAGGCCAGTGAGGTCTATGTAGCAAGACCCTTTTCTCTTTTTTTTTCTTTTGTTATACTAAAAAGCACCCCCCCCATACTGTTCTGTATGTGCCATCACCTTGGTAACCTGTTGGCTGTGTTAACCGTTTGTTCCCTTTGTGAAGGATAATTGTTCCTGGAATCAGTCAACCTTGATTCCTCTCGACCTTTGTTCCCCTTTTGTAAAAGATAGTTGATCCTGAAATTAGTAGACAAAGGACTGTAAATTATTGTAAAGAAGAAAATGGCTGACCACCAACTGCGAAACTTCTTTACTCTCAAGCAAAGGGAAACAAAGGTCTTCCTCATTCCTTAGCTGACCAAGGACTGTAAATTCCTGTGAAACTTCTCTGTCCTCAAGCAAAGGGAAACAAAAGTCTGTCAAGATTTTAAGCCAGTCTTACAAACTCCAACTGCACTGTGTCGCTGGTGCCAGGATAAATAAAAGCGCTCCTTTTTCTTTAAAAAGATGTCTTGCCCTGTTTTTTGAACAACATTTTGGGGTCTCATTTTTGGGGTACAACATCTTTTTGAGACAGGGTTTCATTATGCAGTTCAAGTTGGCCTTGAGCTCACTTTGTAGCTCAGGCTGGTCTCGAACTTGCAACAATCCTCCTGCCTCAGCCTCCTGAGTGCTGGGATTACAGGCATGCAACATCAACCAAGGTTCTTTCTTTCTTTTTTTTTTTTTTTTCCTGAGACACAGTCTTCTCTATAATGTGTCTTCTCTATAATTCAAGCTGAACTTGAACTCACTATGTAGCCCGGGCTCACCTCAAACTCACATCAATCTTCTTGTCTCAGACTCCTGCCTGCTGGAGAAATTTACCACTATACTTGGTGGCAAGACCTTGTTTCCAAACAAACAACAACAACAAAACAAAAGCTAGGTGGCCCATGCCTGTAATCCCAGCATTCAGGAGGCTGAGGCAGGAGGATCTCCAAGAGTTTGAGGCCAGCCTGTGCTACATACTGAGTTTAAAGCCAGCCTGAACTGCATAGTGAAATCCTGTCTCAAAGAGAAAAAAAAAAATCTAAACAGTACTTAATGAAAAGAATGACATAAAAGAACAGGACCAAAGCAAGACCAAACTCATCAGGGAAAACATTAAATCCTATAGCTTTATGTCCAGCACTAAGGCAGACTATGGTGAGATATGGGCTCCAAAGAACATGGAGAGATCTACCCCTATGGCTTTTTGGGTTGCAGCCCTCATGGCCTCTCTCTCTGACTGACTGCTTACTGCCTGTGGTTTTCCTCAGCAAACATTCCATGTTCCAGGCATTTCCAACTTTCTGAGTCTCTATGGTAGCTTTGGCTTCTCTACTACAGTTCATCCATTACCCTCTCAGAGGTCCCTTGGAGGGGCTGTGACCCTGCTACACCACATCACCAGACCTTCCTTTGAAATCTGGGTGGAGGCCTCTGTGACCCCACAATTGTTGTAATCTGCATCTCTGAAAAACCCACATTGAAGTCTGGGACCATTAGAGCATGGCTGTGGTGGCCTCTGAGTGCCAAATGACTGAAGTTGGGATACACTTTCCTTGGCAGCTCTGAGTATACAGGGCACCCTGGGGCTCTCTTCTCAAAGCACAGTCTTTCAAAGGAATTTATCCTTTGCACATTGAGCCTGTGATGGGTGGGGCCTGGCCAATTCCCAAAATGTTCTAAGTCATACACTGGGAGTCCTGGACTGTATGTCCAGCAGGTAAGGAGAAGGATGGCATTCTGTAGACATCATCTCAATCCTCTCAGCAGCTCCTTGAGGGCCGCATGTTAATGCAATTGAGTCAGAGAAGTAAGGTCCTAAATCAAGATCCACAGCTACCAAGTGGCTGAACTACAGGCTGTCTAGCTTCAGAGTTCTCTGTTCTCACACATCCATATGATATGAAGACATGAGAATGCTGGTCAGTCAGCCGCCCAAACCCTTCTTCAGTTTTATCTGGCAATATCCCTGATCTCTGAAACCACAAGGAAGGATAAATGTGCTTTGCTTTATTTTCCAGCATCCCCAATCTCACAGCACGGTGTGTGGGAAATCAGAGAGTCTTGTCACCTCTGCATGGCACCGTGACTCCTCACCAAAGAATGTCCAGGGCCACCATGCCAGTGATCTCCAGCCATGGTGTTCTTAAAACCAGTTTTGGGGGAAAACAAGATCTCCCGGTCTCTGAGAGATTCCTGAATGATCATCCCTTCCCAGGGGAACAGGGACAGTCTCCTTGGTTTGCTGTGCCCATTCCAGGAAGAGTCAAGGAGGGAGCCCCCCTCCTCTAGTGGGCATCTCTTGTTCAAAGAAGGGGCTTGACTGTCCAGTCTGACCTGGAGTAGGTCGAGTCCTGGGAAAGCGCAAAACACTCAGGCCAGATGCCTCCTCAGCAAACACTGGAGCCTTCACCAGATTCGGCTGCCCTCCTCTTTTCCAGCCTGAAAACTCGTGGAGGCAAGGCAATGCCCGTAACAGAAGATTCAGTTCAACTCTGCTGGATGCCATGGTGCTGAGAGAAGACTTCTTTTACTTTCTCCACAATGGTCTCCACTTCAGCCATGGCCCCGAGACCTGGATGCAAAGTTCTCCTGTGGCCCATGATTGACTGGGTACCCCACCCAGCAACCTAGGACACGTGTGGTGAGCCTCTAAAAGTGTGTGTGCCAGGCACCTTGCACCACCACCCCCTTCATCTTAATCCTTGGAGATACAGGGTTCAGTGCTCCCATCCTCCTGCCAGGAGAAGACAGCCACAGCAGGCCAGGATGACAACTCAAAACGGAGCCCCTCCATGCCTGCTGGGGCACCCACCTTGGTCTCCACACACCAGCTTCTTGGCCACGCAGGGAACCTCAGTGTAGCCAAAGGCCTTGAGCTGGCCCACCTGTTGCGCAGTGACTGGGTGCTCCCACATGGCTGTGTTCATGGCAGGGCAGAAGAGCAGGGGCTTGTTGTGGTCCCAGGCCCGGATGACACAGGTCTGGAAAGAACAGATGTCCTGCTGCTCAGCACTACCCCTCTTTACCAGCTCCAAATTCTCCACTATCCTCCCACTCCTGGCCAGTAGCCCAGGTATAGGCTTGGGATGACAGGACATGGCTGTCCCTCAACCAACGCTTGCACTGACTGACCTCGTCCCTGGGAAGTTACCCTGAGCCTGAGCCTAAGTCTCCTCTCCACTGGCTGTCACCTCTTAGGTGGGAACAGCCCTGGGGATCAGGGACTGGCTTGGGGGTCTCCAGGAAGCTGGGGACTGACTACTCATGGGGGAGTACCTGGCAGCAGTTCTACTTCTTATATTTTATATTTTTTGAGACAGGGTGTCACTGTGTAGCCCAGGCTGGCCTGTTCACTCTTGGTGAGCCTCCTGCCTCAGCCTCCCGGGTGCTCAGATTACAGCATCTGCTACCATACCCAGCTACCAGCTCTACTGTTGAGCCAAGAAAGCGCTAGTAATTAAAGGTTCAACATGTGACAAATGTCTTTCACATGTTATCTTAAGAACTTTTACCTGGTCCCCATAAGGAAAGTTCTACACCTTCTCATGTATAGGCAGCTGTGGGACTGAGGAATGCACAGATGGGCAAGGCCACACCTGAATGTGAACATGGCCCCAAATACCTGTCACACTGGGTAGCCTCAACACTTCCAAGGCTAGGCAGTCCCTAAGTCTCTGGACCAAGTCACAGGCCAGGGCCCAAGGAGCTCACGGAGCTCAGCACTATGGGCCTTCAAGTCCTGTGGATCTGAGCACTCTTTTTTCACCGTGATAACCAGGGCAGGTCATTTAATGCTGGGGCCCCCATAAATAGTCCCCTGGACAGGCGGCTAAGCACTGACTGCGGCATGACTGCTTTCAAAGCACAGCACAGGGCTGGGCCCTGGACAGCTCCTATCTGGTCTCCTGGCTGGGCGGGGGCTGCCTGCAGGACAAGGGAGTTCCCCAGGGAGATAGGACTGGAATCTCCTTCCGGAAGTAAGAGTCCATCTGGGAAAAGAGGGAGAGCTCAGGGTACGATGTCCATGTCCGGAAGAGGCCAGGCCTCCCCTGGGACAGTGGACAGCCTCAGGGTCTGGCTGCTTACGTCAGAGCCCTTGCTACTTTCCCACCAAGTTCCCTCAGTGCACACCCAGGCTAGAAATGGACAGTTTCAGTCACACTTCCTCTTGGCTCCCGGCCACATGCTGCTTCTTAGAGGCCAAGAGATCCCTGGAAGCCCCTGACTGCCGGGGAGAGGGGGGGTTCTGAGCAGAAACCAACAGCCCCACCTCTCCCTGAGGCTCCTCACCCTGAGTCCCAGCACTTCCTGAACAAATTGAAGCAGGAGGGTGGAGGGGACCTGGTTCCCACAGTCAAGGGGTGAGTGCTGGGCCAGCACCCTAAGCTGTGCCCTTGGGAATCCACTAGTTGGGGGAGGGGCTGAATCCACACCTACTGACCTGCAGTTTGAGGAAGTCACCTTCTCTTCCTTCCTCTGATTGCTCATTCAGCACAAATTGGGCCCCCATGGCCTGGAGGCTGAAGTTGCCAGAGGCCAGACTGTTCTCAGGGTACCCCAAGTTTCAGGTGCCAGTAAGAAAGGCTCTGAGAAGAGGAAGCCGAGCTTCCTGTCCTGGATGGATGGGATGCTGCAGAGGAGACAGCCTCGCACCCAGGATACCAGCAGCTCAAAGGCTGGGAAACATTTGTGCTTTCCAGGAAAACCTTTAGAGGCTAAAGGTCACTCCTGGCACTGTATCCCACTGCCCAGCAATCCTGGAGAAGAGAGCCCTGGGATTTCAGAGGTGATGGCAGCTTCAAAGACAGGGAAAGCAGGCTGGGTTCTATTTTGAGGCTGGTCTGTGCAGTCACACTAGAGGCAGGGCAGGCAGCAGGCTGGGGGCAAGGGTGGCAGGCACCCACTCTAACCTGCTTCCTCCCGCCAAGGTGGCCTCACCTCAGCTTTGCTGCCCACTCCCCACTCCTGGCCACACCATCTGGTTGTGTTCCCCTGTTCTCCTATCAGGCTCCCTGGGAAGCATCTCAGGAGCCCATGGGCAAGCAGCCAAGGGCACCAGTCTCACAGAACACCAATCTGACATCTGCCCCTCCAACTCCTGACCCAGCTTTGGGATTCACCCACATCATTGGCACCGACCTCTAACACTCGCAATGACCCGTGGGAGTAAAAGTTCTTTCCTGCAGCTTGTAGGCCCCATTTATCCAGTGCCCAGCAGATCCCCAGGACTGACAGCAGCCAATGAAGACCACACCACTCTCCATGGAACAGTCCTCTCCTGCCTGAGTGGGGATCAAACCCTCTCTGTCCAGACTGAGTGCTTCCGAAGTCCTCAGTGTGCCTCTGGAGATGAAAGCTCAGTCATCAGGATCTAGTCACAGAGAGGGGGAAGAGAATAGTTGCCCCCAAACCTCCCCAGAATGCTCTAATAAGCAAGGAAGTCCTCAAAGGGCCAATTCCTGCTCTGTACAGCTGGACATGTCTGTCTCTTCTATCAGTGTCCCCTGACACAAAAGAAACTGAGTCTGGACCCCTGGACACTGCAAAAAGCCGGGTGTGCACTTGGTCTCCAGGACACAGTGGACATCCCTATTAGGTTGCTCCCATATACCCAGATCCAAGGAGCGGTAGAGGAGTGGGTTGAGGAGAGCCCATGGCAGAAGACACTGGAGGGCAGGGGCACTGGACACCTCAGCAGCGCCAAGGTGCCCAGTCCATCCATTGGGCTGCCTGATGGATGGTTGGTGGTACAAGTGCAGGGGGGCAGGGGGCTGCATTGTCCTGAGCAAATGTGGGTCCCACAGTGGCAAGGATGCTTGGGGAGGGATGAGGGTGCCAGGGAATCACTCACAAGCAAGTTGTCGCAGATGCCACTGGCTACCTTCCCCAGAGTGTTGGCATCCAGAGGAGCCACCAGCATGAGGTCTGCCCATCGCCGCAGTTCAATGTGCAGAACAGGGTCAGAGCGGCGCTTCCACATCTGGGAGGGAGGACAAGGACCCAGAAGGTCATGCTCAGTGTGGGTCTGGAACCCAGGGGGCCATGTGACCTCCCACCTGAGTCACCCTCCCACCTTTTTGTGTGTGTTTTTGTTTTTGAGACAGGATTTCACTATGTAGTGGAAGCTGGCTTCAAATTTACATCGATCTTCCTGCTTCTGCCTCCACAGTGCTGGGATGACAGGCCTGTGCTGCCAGGCCCAGTGAAACATCATCCCTTCCTGTAGCTGGGCTGGCAAGCAGTGGCTGTGCTGCCACAGCCTGATAGAATCTGGACTTGCGGAAACAAATGCCCCTTGTCCCGCCGCGCTATTCCCTTTATGGTCTGGTTTTCAGAGCTGACATCTGGCAGGGAACCCAGGGCGGTGGCTGCAGGAGGCGGAGGTGAAGACTGCAGGAGGCTTGGGCCTGTCCCAGCCAGCGGAGGGCTGGGGGGGGCACAGAACCCGCCAGGGGCGCCCGAGGCTGGGAATGTTTAAAAAGCCTGGCAGTGAGGCCCACACGCAGCAGCCCTGGGAAACCAGGCCTCTCCGCAGCCACATGGCCAGGGTGGTGGGAACAGAGCGCTCTGTGGTCTCATCTCGATAAGCACAAGGACACTCAGCTCCAGGCAGCCAGAGCTGAGTTCTGTAGGGCAGGAGGGGACAACGGAGCAGGACAGATGTTCTCTGCGTCATCGTTGCCAACTGATTCAACGCCCAGTCCATCTGCTCCGGCCGCCAGGACCACAGTCTGCACGACTGTCCTGGCGATGAACACGTGATGGCTGTCAGCCCAGGTCTGGCACTGACCTCCCACTCATCGGTGTCACTGTAGAGGCTGACAGGAACGTCCTGGGGGCTGTAGAAATGCTTGGCTCTCTCGGTTGTAACCACTATAACTTCCAGCTGTCACCAAGAAACGAATGAGAAACTGTTATTGGAAGTACAGGCCTGGAGGCCACACAGGGCTGGGCAGGCAGCCACTGTCCTTATAGGCTGGCAAGGAGGGGGACTTCCCCGCCTCATTGGCCGATTGTTTGCACAGTGACTTCTGCTGTCACTGAAGGTCAGGCCCTACCAGGTGTGGCTGTTTCACTTCCCCATGGCAGGTGGCTGAGAGATGAGTCACCAAGTGCCCAGAGTATAAAAAGGTGGGCGTGGTCACTCTGCAGTGAGGCCTGAGAGGGCAGGAGGGAAACTCAGGCAGAGAAGCCGCCGGAGGCCCTCACTACTTCCAGGAATAAGGCTTTGCAGATCCAGGCTGCAGGCAGGTTCCAGGAGTACCAAGCTGTGGGCCCTACAGCACCCCCTTACTAAGGGTAGGAGGTCACGGCTCCCCAGTGAGGGGCCCTGAGAAACAGCAACTCCAGAGAGGGCCCAGGTGACTGCATCACTTGAAAACAAGGCATCAGACTAACAAGAGGCAGGAGGTGCGGGAAGCCATGCCTGTGACATAAAGGACATCTGTCCAGGAGGAGAGGCCCACAGCTGCCTCAGTGAGTCCCTCACCCGGTGCGTGGCAGGGGCAATCTGCAGGGCCATCACAGGGTCCGCACATGGTGCTACATGTTGTTGAGCTCGTACATAAACTGGACGATGTCACATGGGAAAATGTGATGCCCTGGCTTCTCCTGAACTACACAGCAAGATGCTGTCCCAACCCCCTCCCCCCAAAACAAATACTCCCTAATAACAAAGAGCAAAAACTAAAACACCACAAAAGAACCCCAATACCAAGCACAAAATAGAAAAGGGTGTATGTACCAGGCACTGATGGTTCTGGGGACAGTGGCGAGGCAAGCACTCAGCCACTGCCACCTCCCCTGGTCCTTTTTGACTTAAGTCTTACTAAATTCCCTAGGCTGACCTGGAACTTGCAATCCTGCTTCAGCCTGCCGAGTAGCTGGGATTACAGGCACACATCACTGCACTTGTTGTACACTAGCAAAAACCTTCGTTATATTTGTATTATACCAAAATACCTGTAATGTGGCCTACTGTTCTATATGCGTGTTTCTTTTCCTCTGGGTGACCTAATTGATATGTTAATCAATGCTCTCCTCTGTGAAGAACTGTAAATTCCTGGGATCCTAACCTAATTGTTAACCATTGCTGCCCTCTACAAATAACCGATGTGGTGCTAAAATAAGATAACAAAAGGTTGTTAATTGCTGCTAGACTCCTCTGTTCTCTGCTGAGGAAAACAAGGATCTTCCCCATTAGCCTACCTCCTGATCCACGCCCAAACCCCTTACTTTGTAAACAGTGATATATATATAAAGGCTGCAAGTATGGGGGGCAGGACACACACAGCTTTTGCACTCTCCAACTGCACTGTGTGGCTGGGCCGAGGATAAAATAAATCAGCGCTGCTTTTTAAAATATGTTTTTGCCTCATTTTTTAAACTTGAGTTTGGGGGCCTGTTTGTGGATCACAAGGCACTCTGCTACAAGGAATGCTTTCTGGCTTTTTCTTTTGTTTTAGTTTCTGGAGACAGGGTCTTGCCATGTAGCTCTGGTTGGCTTGAACTCACTTTGTAGTCTAGGCTGGCCTTGAACGCCTAGCAATCCCGCCTCAGCCTCCTGAGTATTGGGATCACAGGCATGTGTCACCATGCTTGGATGAAATTTTCGTAAGTCAGATTTTGTGGGTTGTAAACAGGCTGATGCTGTCTCGAGTCAGTCTTAGAGGTTGTCCTAAAATTCTGTCAAAGGTACACCTGAATCCAAAAATACTTTGTCACATCCCCAGCTAAAACTGATGCACCTCATTCCTAGTGAGCCTGACACAGTGCCTGTGATGACCATGTCTTAAACACTCCCTACACACACGCAGCCTGTATTAGCAATCTACAGGCTCCTCTTCTGCCTTCTTGATAAATGGATAGCATCCTATCCAACCCTGTCCCCCAAATGTCCCCACACATCCCAAAAGCCATCAGCCATGATGCTGGACCTCAGCACCCAGAACAGAACTTGCCTGGGTCAGATGAATCACCCAAACTAATTTTAGGTAACTTTTATCACTCTTTTTTTTTTTTTTTAACCTCAAAAGATGATCCCTGGGGCTGGGGATTTAGCTCAGCGGCATAAGCGCCTGCCTTGCAAGCAGGCAGTCGTGAGTTTGATCCCCGGTACCGATAAAAAGGAAAAAGACCAAAAAAAAAAAAAAAAAAAAAAAAAGATGATCCCTGTACTCAAGAAGCTGAGGCAGGAAGATCTCCACAAGCTTGAGGCCAGCATGGCCTATGTATAAGTTCAAGGACTTATACGTAATCTTGGACTACATAGGAAGACGCCACACTCACACATCCATGAAAAAAGGGCTAAGTGTGGTGGCCCATGTTTGTAAGTCTTGTCACTTACAAGGCTGAGACAGGAGAATTTTAAGTTCAAGGTCAGTCTGGGTAACTTAGCAAGATTCTGTTTCAAAAAATATAAAGGGCTGAGGATGTAGCCCTTTATGGGCAGGGTATTCCTAGGTTTAATCTCCAGTACTACAAAAATAGAAAGATGATAAAGGAGGAGATCGCTTCCATTTGTCATCTCCTCTGCTAATGTCACACTGGCCTTCACCTCTGGATACTGATTCTATTCTTTTCCTTTTTTTTTTTTTTTTTTTGGTTTTGATTTTGAAACAGTACCTCACTATGTAGCTCAGGCTGAACCTGAACTCACAGGGATCCCCTTGCCACCCCAACCCCCAGCCCAGTGTTCTGGTCCTTGGTCTCAGTTTCCATGCTGTCTCCTGGCAGCACAGAGGGGTCCTGGGACAATGGGAACAGCCTGTGCCAGGCAGGCCCTCCAGCATCCCTCCCTGGCCTGGACAGACAGCCACATCCTTGATGGTGACCTGGGGAAACAGTAGCCAGGCCCTGGCCGGTTCTTCTGGTTTTTGATGGATGCCACTGGATCCAACTCATCAGCCCTCTGGCTTGGATCTTTCATTGTCTCTCATCCAAAAGGGCCTGGCAGGTGAGGGCTGGGCCCTGGGTCTGCACACATTGGGAAACGGTGTCACGCTACCTTCTGAGGTCCTAAATCATCCAGATCATTCATTCATTCATTCGTTTATCTGACTTTTTCAGCAAACGCTGGACCCTCTGCAGGGCAGAGACTCTGCTATGCCTTCTCGGCTTCTCCAGTGTTCTAGGAGAAGCATAAGCAGAGCTGGGCACTGAAGGGTTCCTGAGGGCCACTTCCCATTGGGAGACGCCAGGACAGTTGTATATCTGACACTTCTACAAGGAAGCTCCTTGTTTGACAGGCCTGGGACCAGCTAGATCTCATTACATCTGCAGCCTGTACTTTGTCTAACAGTTCTAGAAACAATTTCCCAAAACTACTCTGTGAGTCTGGTCTTCTGTTCTCTGCTGAAGAGACAGCAAGGATTTTGATCTAGCTGGGTGTGGTGGTGCACACCTATGATCCCAGCACTGGGGGAGGCTGAGGCAGGAGGACTGCAAATTCCAGCCCAGCGTAGGCAATTTAGGAATCCATCATATCTGTTTTCTCCCCTGCGCTTGCAGGCTGCTGGCAGAGGGCCAAGTTCAACACCTAAGGCCACTGCTGCCCAGAGCCAACCTGGGGTGTTGGTGTCAGGGCCCCACAAAAAGTTTCAAGACACTGATGGTGGCTTTTCTCTCCAGCTGCCAGTCTATAAGGCTTACAGCTAAATCCACCCTTCTTCCCTGCCCTCAGCATTCTCAGTTTGGTTGATGGCACTCTGGGGACACCTGGTGGGTGAGAAGCATCATAGCTCAGGGTTACAGAAGCACCCAACTCCCCAATGCTCACTGACTGCTCCCTGACCAAGCATACTTGGGCATCCTGAAGGGAGGCATATGTCTGAGACATGCTGCTCCTGGGGGTGACCCAGGTAAGACCTGGGGGCTCAGCACTTGAGGGTGTGGGGGGCATTCCCGGAGACCAACACCAAGTAAACCTGACAGATACACAGCTAAGCTGGGTAGAAATATATAGGCAGTCGTGCAGTATTAAGCCCTAGAAGGAGTCAGTGCAGAAGATGAGAATATACTGCAGCTGTAGCTGGCAGTGCATCTCAAAGGCCAGGCCTCTAGATAAAGACAGAATAACCAGGGCTACAATGACTCCCCAGGGAATAAGCAGTAAATTGAAGATTATACTATAATTGGTGTCCTGTGGCCCAATAAGGTCTTGATAGCCATCAGTTGCCCAGGTGGGTGCCAAGGACCTTCTGATTCATTCCTTCCAAAACAGGTCTTGGTTCTTCCCATGTGCATTTGCCACGTGACCTGCTACCCCACTGGATAAATATTACTAAGTGGCTATGCTTTTGTAATTGTATTGGTTGATCAGTTTTGCTCTGCATTTCACTCACCTCAAGATTTTACTCTATAAAACTTTCTCTGTAAAGTGGGGTTCATAGCAGCCCACTTTTAGGTCCTCTCCTGTCTCTCAGGAGCTATTTCTCTTGATAAATATTTTCTATAGTTAACCTGCATTGTTCGTTAGAATCCATTCTTTGATTTTGGGGAACACAAACTTAGCATCTCTCATATGCAGCAGGTTGGGAGTTACATTGTTTCCCTGTATCACTGGGCTGTCCCTGGTCAGCACACTACACAGGACCCTGCAGCACCAAGCCAGGGTGATGAGCTGTCCCCTGCAGGATGAGCAGGATGGGGACTGTACAGGGTGGGGGTGTTGTCTCACCAATTCCGACACCCACAGCATGGAAAGGGAGGGTAGACAGGAAACACATGCTGTCAAGTGCTTCTTCTAGCCCTGGTTTGTGCCTGGTCATCGGCACAAGAGACAAACTGTCAATCTGTGTGCCCCATCACCAGCCCACAAGTTCCCAGGAGGCCAGGCATGGGGTTCCTAACTCAGGGGCCTCTGGTTTTAAGCTGCTGTAAAAGTGGACTGTCCTCCTAGCTGTGCCAGCAGGCTGGGGGGCTGGGCACCTCCTTCCTGGGAAGTTGGGTCAGCACACCCCATGTGCAGCTGCAGGGGCTGCAGGAAGTGGCGGGTGCCCTCCCCCAGTTCAGCTGCCCATCTGTTTCCTGGGCTAGGCCTCCTGTCCCTACATACCCAACAGGAAACCCACTTGCTCCAGGTCATGGGAAAGGAGTGTGTTTGTTCCACCTCCCCAGAGGCCCTGTAGCCCTTCCAGGCCTCCTGTGCTCAAGGCTCCAGCCAGCAGTTCCCATCCAGAGTTCTGGGCAACGGAAGGAGGCGGCTGCCCCAGGCAGCAGTGCCCCCAAACTGACATGCCCAGTCTCAGAGCAGGCACCAGACCCTGCTTATCCAGGTCTGGAGATAGAAGGCTAGAAATTTGGGGAAACTGAAAAAAGCAAAACAAACCTTCCTGGCCTCTGCCAGGAGTCCCCATGAGGTCATCTGTGGGTGAGCAGTGCCCCCTGCTGGGAGTGTCAGCCACAGTGCCTGGGCTGCACCATATAGAAGACTGCAGAGCACTCTGTGGCCATGAGAAAGGGGTAGGGGTGGGAGATGGGAGGGCAGGGAAGGGAAGGGGGGGTAAAAGTGATCTAGATTCAATTATGTGTATATGTGCCAAAAACCCACGATGAATACCACTATGCATTACAAACAACTAATAAAAAAAGTATAGCTTAAGCCCAGAGAATGAACCACGTCTCCAAAAACCCAGTGTCCAGTAACACAAACAGGGTCCAACATGACCCATGGTTCATGGTCATGAGTCTAAAAAGGCAGTAAGAGCCAGGTCGGGTGGTGTATGCTCATGATTCTGGCACTCTGGGAGGCGGGGGCAGAAGCATCACAAACTAGGCAATTTAGCAACTTAGTGGACCCCGTTCCCGCCCCTCCAAATTATTCCAAGCATGGTGATACTTGCCTGTAATCCCAGTACTTGGGAGGCTAAGGCAGGAGGATCACCATGAGTTCGAGGCCAGCCTGATCTACCAAGTGAGTTCAAGGCCAACCTGAACTGCATAATAAAACCCTGTTTCAGAAAGGCCAAAAAAAAAAAAAAAAAAAAAAAAAAATTACAAAGGCAATGGAGCTTAGTGCCAATGCCCTGGATTTGATCTCTAGTTCTGCAAAAAAAAAAAAAAAAAAGTGAAAATTAATAAAATCAAAAGGGGAATAAAGCCACATAGGCTGAAAGGAAGGCTTCTGCATGGGCTCTGAAAGGTGGGAGGAGCAGAGGGTAGTGGGGCTGATGGGGTCCATTCCAGCATAGCTCACAGGGAATGAGGTCCACAGGGCTCCTCTGAGGCCAGACCAGTAAAGCCACTACCTGTCAGAGTCCACTGTTCCAGGCTTGGAACTTCTGCCCCAAAACTCACACATAAAACTAACCGAAGCTGAGGCTGCCTGGCCAGGAACAATGGGCAGAGTCCCTCACCCAGTTCATGGTGAGGGCTCAGGGGACATCTCTGAGATCTGAGCCAGGAGTTTGAGTTTGCCACAACCAGGAGCAATCATAGTACGGTATTCACCAAAAAGGGTAAGGACCACTTCAGGCAGGGTAAGAGAGGTGCTGGGGATCTGCTATACTTCCTGGCCTCCCTGCTGTAGGACCTCAGGAACTAGAGGCAGGGAAGAGGCCATCACCCCACAGTGATGGCCTCCCCTACCATGAAGCTAATCTCACACATGCTCATCCTGTGCAGGGGTCTCTGTCTCATGGGTGCCCCCTGTGCAACTACTCAGGGGATCTGGACAGTTGCCACTATCAGGAACAAGAAAACGCCATGCACTAGAAAGGAAGGGGCTGGCCCTGGGAGCCACTGAGCCATACAGAGGGGATACTCACCCCAGGAATGTCCAAAAGCCGTGACACCAGAAGGGGCAACTTCAGGGCAGCCACACTGCCAGTGACACCCACAAGAACGTGGAATTTCCTCTCCACCTGGGGTGTGGTGGCTGGACTGGAGGCCCAAGGTTCCATGTGGGATCTGGTGGCTTTGGGTTCCTGAAGCTCACAGAACAGGGGCTCTAAGAAGCAATGAGAACTCAAACTGAAGAGTAACAAAGGGTATCCCCTGAATTTACATGTTCAACCAAGAGGCAGGCAGAGCACTATCACAAGACCCCTCCACAAGCTAGGCTGCCAGGAGATACTCATATTATGGACAACCAAGATAGACAGAAATTAACAGGTGGTCAGAAAGGGAGCTAGCTCTCAAGGGAGTTGGTTCAGAGCTTGAGACACAACAAAACTGGGGCTGTGAGCAAATTTAAAGACAGCCAGGCCTGCAGGCTCCCTGGAGATAAACAACAGTCTGAGATTGTACTGCAATTAGTGCTGTCTGATCTAGTGAGCCCAGATAGGCATCAGATGCACAGGTGGGTGACCAGAACACCCTGAACCACACTCCCATCCCTTTCCAGAGATGCCTTGGTTCCTCCTATGTCAGAAGTGACAGATAGGGGCTGGGGATTTAACTCAGCAGCCTAAGTACCTGCCTTGGAAGCAGGCAGTCGTGGGTTCGATCCCTGGTACCAATAAAAAAGGAAAAAGACCAAAAAAAAAAAAAAGAAGTGACAGATAAGCCAATGATTAATGATAGGCAAGGTTAATGATACCTTGCCATATAACCTGGCTACATGCTTCACTTCCCTACAGGATCAATAGTAGCTAAACTGCTATACTTGCAATCTTATAAGTTGATTACAGTTTGCCCCATGTTGTGAGTCTGCTGTATAAAATACCCTTGGACAAAGAACCTCTGTTGTAACCGCCTTTGGGGAACACTTTTGTCTCTTAGGAGCTTTCTCTCAGTAAACCTTTCCCACTCTTAACCTTTGTCCTTGAATCTATTCATTATTTGGAAACACCACTCAGCACATCTGACATCTCACAGGTTGGTTGACACCCACAGTGGGTAAGAAAGGCAGACCCTGACTGCAATCCCAGCAGCTGGAAGGTTGAGGCAGGAAGATCACCTTGATAAGGACAGCCTGGGTTACATAGTCTGAACTACATAGCGAGTCTTTGTCTCAAAAGAAGTCTGAGTTGCACAAAGAGTTGACATGCAGGCTGGTTACAGGCCTGAGAGCTGGGATCACTGAGCCTCCAGAACCCAAGGTCCCAGCCAGGAAGATGAGCTGCAGGTGGAAAAGTGCAGCTTCTGCCCTTTAGAAAGAAGGGGACAGGGGCTGGGGGTTTAGCTCAGTGGCATAAGCACCTGCCTTGCAAGCAGGCGGTCGTGAGTTCGATCCCCAGTACCGATAAAAATGAAAAAAGACCAAAAAAAAAAAAAAAAAAAAAAAAAAGAAAGAAAGAAAGAAGGGGACAGCTCTAATGCTCATGCTTTGATTATATATGCTCTAATTTCTCAGAAAATTTGTTCGTGCCTAGAGGAAGCCAAACCCCACGTAATCATACAGATAAAACCAATATCACATATGCTAGATTCCTTTTACTGGGATCTACCAGATCTTGTCCAGAGAAAGGGTTATATGACACATATCAAGGCCTTAACTAACTATACTCAGCGGGCCTTAAATGACACCTCAGCTGCTCTCTCTCTCTCTCTCTCTCTTCAAAATAAAAACTTAGTGAAGGCTGGGGGTTTAGCTCAGCAGCACAAGTGCCTGCCTGGCAAGCATGAGGTTGTGAGTTCGATCCGCAGTACTGAAAAAAAAAAAATCTTAATGAGACAAGTCATTCTCCAAAATTAAGACATTCTAACAACAGCACAAGATATACTTGTGCAACTGTAAAAATTGAATGTCATGTGTGCATTACTGATCTTTCTAATATTTCAGTAACTATTCAAGACACTAAATGACAAATCAATGACCTTAGTATCCTTATCCTCTTTATGAGAAGTCATTATTGGCTCCTCTTTGGTGGAAATCTTTGTTGACTGTTTTCATAATTATCCTGTTGATCCTACTGTTTGGCCCATGCATATTTGTTTCTTTGGCTTTTTCTCTTCTAAACTAAAAGCTATAAACCTAACCAAGCTGAAAATGCCAGGTGTTTATTGAGGGCCTTTAGAGTGACTCTCTGTAGAGTATCTCTGCCTGCCAATCAACAACTATGATCCCTTCAGCCTCCAGAAGCCAGATGGGCCACTGCCCATTACCTCAGAGGGATGAATGTTATAGGCAACTAAATTAGATAAAATATTATCAGCAGTCAGATAGAGCCAGGCCCTCGAAGAAGTCAGTGCCAACACAAGAGACCTTACAACTGTGGGGCAGCAGACACCTCTCCACTGTGGGCCAGACCTCAAGACAGAAGATAAAATACATGCACCCACACATTTCCTAAGGATGAGCATCAGGGATTGATATTCTAAATAGATATTGCCTTGATTTATTTGAGCAATTATACTTGTAACCTTACTGGTTGATCTGTCCTGCCTCTCGCCCACCTGGTAACTTCCAATTTTTCCACACCTTGGACCCACCTCCCATCGAGGATTTGCTCTATAAAAATCCCTAGAAAAGGCAGAGTCTTTGGCAACCCACTCGAGACCCTTCTGTCTTTCTCTCAGACAGCTTTCTTTCCCCCAATAAATATATCCTACTCTTTAAAAGGGGAGGGAGGCAGGGCTGGCGTGTAGCGCAGTAGCAGCACACTTGCCTAGCACATGAGGCCCTGAGTTCGATCCCAGCAGGCGCGCGCGCGCGCACACACACACACACACACACACACCACAGAGCCACGCACGACACACACACACACACACACACACACACACACCACAGAGCCACGCACGACACACACACACACACACACACACACACACACACACGCACACGCACACGCACGCACCACAGAGGTGACCACAGCTCCCGCCTTCCGCCTCCAGCCCTGGCAGACTCAGGAACTAGCTAATCACTCAGCCCCCAACACTGCTCACCCAACCTGGTGCCTGAAAGGGAAAGCCCCAAATATCGCGGTACTTCACTGGCTCTTCCCAGGGATGCCACATGACACGCAGTATCGTGAGAGCACTGGGCCGGCACGAGGCCACAAGCCTTCTGGGAGTTGTAGTCCTTTCTCTGTCTGCAGGAAGGTGTAGTCCGCTGGATGAATTTTGACACAAATCCTGGCTGTTCTTTGTATTCTCCGGAACTCTTGCTAAGGCCTGGCCTCACTGCGCAAACGCCTCTTCTCATCTCACAGTCACAGTATCTAGGATGTAGGCACTTCACACTGTGTATTTACCAAGTCTCATTTGATAAATCAGATGCCATTTTGGGGAGGGGGGGGGAGATTAAAAACAGGGATGCAGTAAATTCTAGCCCAGGGTCTTCCATGAGGAAGAGGGTCCTAAGCGATGTCTGGTAGAAACGCCTATGAGGGAGATGCTTGAGGTGGATCTTCCAGGTTGACTAAGACAGAGGGCCAGAGCAGCTCTCCAGGCAGAGGCCACAATACCAGCCAACAGAAAGTGGGTGGATTTCCTGTCTGGCATTCAAGGACCCAAGATCTTCATGAAGCTGCTCAACCTGCAATGGGGTCTCCGCATGAGCATTGAAGGGTTCTGAGCTCCTCTTCTGCCTTGTCTACAGCAACCACCTATACATTTGATGGCAAACCTTTTAGAGACAAATGCCCAAACTGCAGTGCCGACACTGCAATCAAACTGACATACTGAGGTTTTAGTTTAGAAAAAACAGTTAACAACTTGGTGTGGTATTGCATGCCTGTAATTCCAGCACTCTGGAGGCTGAGGCAAGAGGATTGCTGTGAGTTTGAGGCCAGCCTGGAATACACAGTGAAGTTCAAGGTAAGCCTGCATGACAAAGTAAGACCCTGTCTTAAAAGAAACTCCACATACATTAACATCTTTGGTCTTAAAAAGCAAATAGCATGCTTGCCATACATTCATTGCCACTGATCCACGCCAAGCCAGCCCTGCCCCAAGTTCCAACAGTCTTCTGCTTTCTTCTCAGCCACACTCCCACCCACTAACAGGCAGGAGCCTCTGAGGAACTGCAAGGCCCAGCTAAGTCCACCTCAGAGAAAGAACCATGCAGAAATGTGTGACTTTTGGTGCCGGGCAATGAGTGACAGCTGCGCAACCTCCATGTACCTGCCCTGCAGCCCACAGCAAAGCTCCATGCAGGCCCCCATTAAGATACATGACACAGGACACTGGACCACATGTTCCCCTTTATTATGGTTCACTCAGTTACCACAGATAGACACATTGGCTCAGACAGGTCAACTGCCAGCCAGGGAATGGTCTGTTTCCCAGAAACGAGGAGGGCAGTGGGCACCAGGAGAATGCAGAAGCAGGTCTCTGGCTGGCCACAGACCTGCAGATCCCAGAACCACTGGGCCCTCCTCCAGATTCCTGGGCCAAGGTGGGCCCATGCCTGGCCCCATAGCTCATATGGGTTCCCTCCCAGGAAGTGCATAGTTGCTGGGAGGTGCAGCATCCCAGGGCCTGAGCGAGCCGGGCTGGGTGCAGGAGATAAGCTTTCCCCAGGGCAGCGCCAGGCCTGGCTATGTAGGTCTCAGCCAGGAAAGAGGAATGGGACAGAAAATTGATTGGAGGTGGCATCCAACATATCGCAAATGCTAGGCTGGCAGCTGGACCACAGCACTCCAGAATGACCAGAGGGATAAAGGGAAAGGGAGTCAGAAGTCTGGGGTAAGCAGAAGGAAAGGAGAGGAAGGGGCTGGACCTAGAGGCTGGGATAGCTGCTCTCCAGAGGGAATGGCAGAGAAGAGAACCAATCACAGCATGGGGCTCAAACTGAGGGACCATCAGGGAGAGGACTCTGCGGAGGACCTGTGCTCCTCTCATAGGGAAGAGAAGCCACTGGAAAACCCTGGTACTGAGCTCCACATGGAGCCAGGGCACCTGTCCAGTTAGCTGGGGAGTTGGATAAGGAGGCTCTGTCAGAACAAGGTGGTGGGGTCAGGCAGCTGCTCCCTAGATGAGCAAACCGTCACCACCCCCTCACCCTTCCTCAGAGCAGCGGCCACCCTTTGCTTGAATAGAACAGCCTCTTTCATTTGAAAAAGACAAAAAAAAAAAAAAAAAAAAAAATAGAACAGCCTCAGGCCTGGAAGTGAGGTGAGGAAAGGCCAGGAACCAAGTTCTGCAGGCAGGGAAGAGCAACTTATCTAAATGTGGAAAATCAAAGCTAAACTAACTCCCTCCTGTTTGCCCCTACAGAATCCTTCTTCTGGCCTTTGTGCTTACAATAGGGATGGTGCCTGGCACCTCTTCCTGGACCTAAGTGCAAATGCCCAGGGCTGCCCTGTGGCCGGGAGCAGGCTGGGTAGAGACATAGGCTGTTTTCGAGAGTCCTGCTCCCTGTCCTCTGAGCTCTCCTCCCGTCAATTCAGCAGAAGAGCTACACTTCCAGAAACCCAGCCATCCATCACACAGAGTCTAGGTAGGAACCCTGCAGGCCGGGGCGGGCCAGTCTCTGCTAGGGACCCATATTACTTATAGTCTTTGCTCCAGCTTCGAGGTATGGATGATACCTGCCCAGCAAGACCCAGCTGTTCAGAGAAGGCAGAGGGGGCGTGAGGAGGTGATGGGGGGCTTGCTTGAGGGGGTTGGAGGCAGAGAAGGGGAAGGCACGGGAGAGAGAGCCTGCCTCTGTCACCAAGCTGAGAGCCAAGGAAACCAGGCCTACATTTCCTTTCCTAGGAGCCTGGTACTCCCCAGGGCTCTGCATGACCAGCTGAGAGTCCCCCATGTCAGAGCTGTGGCTCAGTCCTCTGCTGGCTTCATGGAGCTGGAAATCAGTTTGCACTTGGAATCTGGGCTAGGTCTCAGAGAAGATACAACTAGGATACTCAGCCTCAGGGGGACAAAGAAAAGCCACTCAGGGAAGAGAAACCCTGGGCAAGGGAAGTGCATGGGTGAGCTAAAGGCAGGGAAGAGACAAAGGGAGGAGCCTGGATGGGTCCCAAGGAGCAAAGGGACATCCCATTTCATCTCAGCAGGAGCCAGGTGGAAGTGGATTCAGCTCGAGCCTGCAGAGGGCACGGGCACCCAGGCAAGGGTCAGAGGGAGTTGCATGGTGGAGGGGGCGCTGGTTTGGCTCTAAACATATATCTAGCACCACGACAAGAGACCTCCACTGCACTACTTCACAAGGGGATGGGGATGCAGTGGCCACGGCACAGGCTGGCTCCATATGCAGCCTGTGGCCCGGGGGGTGGGGGCAGAGGTGGACAGATACAGATATATAATTACATATATCTGATTCTTTGTACAAAGTAGGGGAAAGAGGAGAGGGAGAAGGGAACCCTGCTTAGTCACCACAGCTGATGTGGCTCAAACCCCTGTCCCTTGCCCTGGCCCTGCCTCCAGGCGGGTGTGGAGGGCTCACATCTCATTGGAGTACGTGTAGCTGGGGGTGGTGGAGTACTGGGGCTGCGGCTGGCTCATAGCTCCCTGGGCTGCCCCCATAGCCGCGTTCTGGGCCGCCTGTTGCACGTGCGGATTCTTCCATGCACCTGTGGTCCACTCTTCCTGTGCTTTGCTAAAACTCCCTCCACTGCCCCGGTAGAACTTATGAACCTGTTGGAAGAAAAGCATAAGGGCTCCTCAGTGGGGTATAGTGGTGCACACCTGTGATCCCAGCACTCAGGAGGCTGAGGCAGAAAGATCATGTTGAGTTCAAAGTCAACTTGGACTGCACAGCTAGGCCCTGTCTCAAAAAAACCTTAAAAAAAAAAAAGAAGTGTCTTCCAAAGGGAAGAGGCAGTCCACAGCCCCTCCAGCAAACAGATGGGATCCATCTACAAAACAGCCCTCCCTCCACCCCCATACACCATGCAGATGCAACAGAGGCTGGCAGGTGACTCTGGAAGGATTATTCCGGAGGACCAAGAATCATGTGTGTCCACAGTCCCATCCAAAGGCTACCCACTCCTCTCTGGGTGGCCACCTACCATGCTGAGGGCGATGAAGGAGAAGACAGCCATGACTGTGAACATGATGGTGGGGATGAGCATGACCACAGCTGAGCCGACGTTTGTTCCAAAGAAGGAGATTGTGGCAATCCAGCCGCTGTGGGGAGAGGCCAGCACGGGCCATGTAAGCATGGGGGACGCAAGAGCTCCTACAACTACCAAGACCATCCTACTGCCCTAGGAGAAGCTGTGTCACTGACATAAAGGGACCATCTTGCTGACACTTAAGGCTGGTCAGTGGCTCAAGAAGACCCCCAGCCAGGCTTTCCCAGAGTGTGTGACCCCCTCAACCACCCAGGAGGCACTGCCTGGGTCCTGTTCCCCTCTGAAGTTACCCCCAATCCTCTCACTCATTCAGGAACTGGCAACTTGGTGTCCCCCAGGCCAGCAGCTCAGCACATCACACTCTTACCCTGCCACCCCTACCGGGCCTAGGCAACACCACTTCTTACCAGACGCCCCAGCCTGGGATGCCCACAGCCTGGATAATGCTGATGACCAGCTGCGCCATGAAGGTGAAGAAGAACGCCATGAAGCTGAAGGAGCTGTCAGTTCTGGGGCAGAGAAAACGGCTTCTGGCACCCAGAACAGGGCCAGGGTTTCCCGGTCTTCAAGGACCCCACACCCTCCCAAAGGTAAATGAGTGTATAATGGATAAAGGACATGCAGAAACCATAATTAAGAGACCAGTATGGATCCCCCTCATCCAGTATGGAATCCCCTCATCCTTTGATGGCATCCGTGGGCCTGGCTATGTGAGCAGTGCTGCACAGGGTTGGGGCTCTTTGGCCATGGGGCACCAACAGGCCCTGTGGGCACAGAAACAGATGGCCCCACCATGGTGGAAAAACAGCCCCATTATCAAGGGGATGGGGAGCCCACTGGCACTAAGCCAGGTACCTTCCTGGGACACAGACCAAGAGTCCCATAGGCTCAGAGAGAGTGAACCCCTTTGGTACTAGAATAGACACTTTATTGGCACCAAGATAGTAAATAATTGGCACACAGTCTATTATCAGGGAGATGGACAGTGGCTGGCATCAAAAACAGGCAGCTTTATTGATAGAGTCAGTCCCACAGAACAGACACTGAAAATCCTCTTTGGCACTGAATGGGCACACATGGCAACAGGAAGACTACCCCAGTGACATGTGAATGGTGCTCCCTTTGGCACAGAACTGATACTATTCATTAGCACATGAATGGTATCAGTGGTTCCTGGATGGCGTGTTCCTCCCCAGGTACCTGGTCAGATAATCTTGTACCAATCAGCTGGGATAAGGATGAGAAGCTCCCCAGACAGGAGAACCCACAGGACAAGTGGACACATGGCTTCCCAGGGAAAGCCGAGCAGAGGACAAAACAGGTCTGATCTCCATGAGGACTCCACCAGGGAAGAGGAAGAAGGGAAAGAACTACAAGGACAGTCCCAGCTCCCAGCCCTCTTATCAGGTCAAATGCTCCCAGGAAGTCCACGCCTCAGGAGGCAGTGGGAGCCAAGGTAAGCAAGAGAAAGTAAAGCTGGGGTGGGGCAAAAACAGAGGGAGACAGAGACAGAGAGAGAGAGGAAAGGAGCTGGGCATGCTGCACATGCCTATAATCCCTGGCCTTCTGGGAGACTGAGGCAGGAGGATTACAAGTTCAAGCCCAGCCTGAGCAATTTAGCGACTTAACAAGACCTGGTCTCAAAATGAAAAATAAAAATAAAAATGAATGGCTGGGAATGTAGCGCAGTGCAAAGGCTCTGGGTTCAGTCTGCAGTTCTTTTTTCTTTCTTTCTTTTTTTAAAAAAGAAATGTAAAGAAAAGACAAGGGAAATGGACACAAAGAGACAGTGCTAGGAGCTGAGGTCAGCGCCATCCACTTACTTGAAGGCTTTGTAAATGGGCCGAAACCAGCAGACGTAGGAGCAGGGCGTGAAGAGGATGAGCCAGAGAAAGGCCAGGCCAAAGTTGGTGGCTCCCCCACCTCCGATCAGCCACGCGAGACAGCCCACCAGGTTCACGGCCAGTGTGACGCTGTTCACTGCAGACCCATGAGCACACACACACAAAGAGAGAGAAAGAGACACCAGGCACACACATGCACACATAACCCAGAATTCAAGCACAGACTCACAGTCAAACGCAAGCCAACGGCACAGAGATGCACATGCACAGACATACACACACACACACACACACACACACACACACACACACGCGCAAATCAGACACACAAGCCACATTTACAGATCCAAAGCCACAAAGAAAGCCCACACATCATTATCAATGAGTGCATATACAGATACACAGGACACACACACACACATTCAGGCATGCACACATACAGTATAGATGTAAGAAAGTAAACTGGGAGCCCATTCCAAAGCCCTCCCCACACCCACTTCCAGAGACCTAAGGAACCTGGAGCAATCTCAGAGTCAGAGCCTAGAGCAGGACCCAGAAGGCTCCTTTGGAGGCCTGGCCTCAGGGTGGGAGAAATGTTCCTCTCCGGACAGGAAGGCCTGAGGATGGGGGTGCAGCTTGGGGCGGTGCACATGCTTAGCACTGTCCATGTGTCTAGAGAGGCCTCAGTCCTGGGCCCTCCTACAGGCATAGCAATCACCAGGCCCAAAACAGGAAACACAGCTTACACCTCATTTTTTGAGGCTAGGCAGGGGAAGGAGAAGGCAAAAGGCCTCATGGGAAGGGTTCTTCATGTTCTAAGCCATCTGCTCCACACTTCCCTGTGATGACAGTAGTGGCTGGGACCTCAGTCTGGATCATTCTTTTTTTTTTTTTTTTCCTGGTACCAGAAATTGAACTCAGGCCCTTGCACTTGTCAGGTTATTTCCCTGGCCCTCCATCATTGTTTAGATAACAGTCATACTTCTTCCTCTCAGAAGTCCCCTAACTCATCCCCTGCCCCACCCCCACCCCCAGCACCTGCAGGACTGGTTTGCACACGTGGTTCCCTAAATACAAACCCCAGTCCACCAACAAGACCAATTGCTCCCATCCTTTAGGGAGCACGGTAACATTGAGTACCAACCAGCAGGAGGCCACAGGCATACCCCAATGTCCCATACTGGCATTGACCGGGGCACCCTGTGCTTGACCTTGGGCTGAGTGTGCAAAGCACACATTACGGCAGGCTCCAGGCAGGTGGCATCTGCCCCAAGACAGTCTCAGGGGTGACACATGTTCCCTCGGGCCGAGCCCTGGCAGGTGCCCAGTGAGGACTTAGGAGATATTTATAGGCCTTAAAGCCAGCTCTGGGTGAGATCTCCCCAGAGCCAGCGTCCTGGCAGCCTGGGGTCAGGGAGAAAGAAGACTCCTTAAGTCATGCCCAGCAGGACCACCATGTAGGTGTGCCCATCTCAGGGCCCTCGGGATACCTGTGGACGATTCTTCCTGTGTGGTCAGCTCCGTTTCCTTCATCCTTTTCACTGCTTCAAAATCTCCTGGAGCCTTGAGATCACCCCTGATTTTACAACTCTTCCCATAGAAAAGATATCCAGTAACCCATTGTCACATGGGTAACCTTTCTGCAGCCCCCCAGTCCAGCTCAGCATCCCATCCACGGTTACTCTACTTTCTCTGTGGAACAGATTCCAAGGATTCAGCAGCTCCTTTCCCTGCTGTCCGCTGCTTCTGACTCCACTGCTGCCCCTGTCCTATTTGGCATCCAGGATTCATTACTTCACTGCCTCACTCCCTCTCCTGCCATATCTTCCAGCCACATGTACCCGGAGAGAACAAAGCTCCTGTCTACCTGAGCTAATGTCCCCGGGAAGAGAGGACACATAGGGAAACCCAGCAGTGCTATAAATTTATAGCAGCCCCCTGTGTGTGACTGGAAACCTTAGGGGCTGGGTTTTCCTGGAGTGTCCTGCCTCTGCCACACATGCTCTGGGCCTCTTCCCCAAAACTCCCATCACCATGCCTACATGACATTTGACACTGAAAAGAACAGAAGCCTTTAGCAATAACTTCCATGTCTTCCTCTCTACATTCAGGGATGTCGCGCACCTGCTGCAGGCTGCCTCTCAGGTCACAGGCCAGGACATCCCTTCCTCACTCAAAGGTCAGGACTTTTGTTTTGTTTTGTTTTCTTTAAAGATCAAGAGTTTGTGTGCCTGGCACTATTCCCTTTCTTCCATGTCACAAGGGGCCTGCTGTGAAGACAGCCTTTGTCACCACTTCAAGACAATCTTGGGCCCACAGTGGCAGCTACCTTTGACTGAAGGCCAAATCATGGGGGACAAAAACCAACCAGATTAGCACAGTGGGTCCCTGGGGTCGCACTCTGCACAGCCAGCCTGCCCGCCCCGCCTCACCTGTCTAAGCAGCCAAATCCCATCACCCACACTGACACCTTCTCCCCTGACCTGCCACCAATTGTCAGAGATGGGGCTCACACCCGCAACCTTAGCACCTTACATCATTGAGACTCCAGGCTCAGAGAAGTACAAACCAAGAGCCGCCAGGAGTGACATCAGCCACCGAGCCACTGCCTTCTGTCTACAGGAGAGACTTGCTGCTTGTTTTGTTTTTACTTTTTATTATTTGTTTATTTGTTTTGCTTTGCTTTCAGGCTGGCCTTGATGGTGATCCTCCTGTCTCAGCCTCCCAAATCCTGGGATTATAGGCATGGGCCACCACATCCAGCTGGAAGTTGCTGCTTGGGAAGTGGTGTGACCAGACAAACTGGCTTCCTTGCCTCCTGACTCCCAGATGAATGCTCTTCTCTTTAAATAACCTTCCAAGAAAAGCAAGAAAAAAGAGGCTTCGAGGGAAGGATTTTCCTCAAGTCCAGAATCCTGAGATCCTGACAGTTACCAGTGGATCCCTGGAAAATTACACCATTAGAAGGGGAAGGGGACACAAAGAGAGGAGTTATACTACCAGAGTCCCTCAATCCAGAGGTTCTGTAAATGTGAGATGGAGGGGGAAACTGAGTCCCAGCTTAGGAGCTGGCCCCTGAAAGGAGCCTGCTGGGAACCAAGTAGCGAAAGGCTCCCCCATCCATGAGGCTGAGGACAGCCCCCTGCACCCCTGGCAGTGCCCACCCTCCTCCTCTTGCCCCAGTCTACCCCTCACTCACACATCCAGAGGTAGTAGAGGCGCTTGGTCATGCTGAGATGCTGCGGGGGAATGTCGGCCTCGAAGTCTTGGTAGAAACATGGCTTCAGCGGGATGAACTTGGGCAGCGGTGGGAAGTTGTTCACCTTCTCTGTAGGCCACACACACCGAAGGGGTCACCAGGACATTCCACCCTGTCCTGGGCCCCTGGGCCCCTTGTCCCTGGATGGCTGGTTCCATGTCACCCAGCCATCCTCGTTTTCCTGGGTCTGCCAAATGACCCCAATAACCATGTCCCTGGGCAGACATGAGGCTGATGGACACTCTGGGGTGAGGCCCCCGCCCCTGGGGGGAACAGTTCCAGAACAGGAAGTGGGATGAGCAAGCCAGGAGGTGGGGACTCAGCCTCCACCCAACACTCATTCATTCCTTCAGGCCACTGCCCCCTCTAGTCCTCAGTTTACCCAATAGGTGGAGCCTGGATCAGAGGGTCCCCAAGTACTTCCATCCCTAGAGCCTGCATCTCTGAGCCTTAGAAACCAGGCAACTTGGGACTCAGAGGGTACAGATCCCAGAAAGGGGACATGGGGCTGGGGTCTGGGTCATCTATGCTGCTACTCAGTCAGCTGGACAGGAAGACAAGCGTATCAGGATGCTCAGTCCCAGCCTCCAGCATCAGACACCAGACAGAGGATGAGACAGGGCCAAGCTGGGGCCTTAGGGGGCAGCAGGGAACAGCTAAGGTCAAGAGGACAGAAAGAGCTAACCACCACCACCCCCCCCCCCCCGGCTCATACTCCTGTTCTACCCGCACAGCCCGCCCCTCCTTACCTGCCATGGTGGCACGGCTGGCCCACAGCGGCCCGCCCACGTCTCTATCCAGAACTGTAGGAAGGAAAAGCCAGAGAGGGTGAGGATGGGGAGCCCCATCCAACCAGGTCCTCTCTGAACCCCAGGGTGCTGAAAGCTCCCAGGACAAGACCCAGGACAGCATCCAGCTTCTTGGTGCTGAGACTCTGCCCCCTGGGGAGGCAGCTCCTGCCCAAAGGCAACCTCCACACCTGCCTCCTGCTTCCACTGGACTCTCACCCTTTGCCTCAAGACACAGAGTTTGTTGGTACTCAAAAATCAGCCCAGAGTAGGAAGGGAACTTGGGACAGATGGGTCTCATGTGGGGAAAGCCAAAGGGCGTCAAGGGCCAGAGACCCCTGAGAAGGAGGTTCTGCCCCTCCCCCTGCACAGCCTCCCTGTCAGACTTCTTACCTACCAGGCAAGGGGAGCAGGCAGAGTGGGTGGTATGGACCCTGCCCTGCAGAAAAAGCAGTTGATAATCCCGCGGTGATTCATAATGCTACCTATTGTATAAAAGGGAGAGATGGGGAGTGTAGTTCAGTGGTGAGCACAGGCTTAGCATGTGTGAGGCTCTGGGTTCCTTGCCAGCACCAAAAGAAAGAAAAAATTAGAGAAGAGTAAAAGTATTTTTCTATCTGACCCAACAATTGTATTTACTTACAAATAAGAAGCAACATCCTTTATTCCATGTGATATTATTTGAAAGTGGACTACATATTTAAGTAAACCAGGGAAAATGAAGTTTTTACATAGATGTAAAAAGAATGCAGATAAAGCCTATCAGCTGCTAAGGCATGATTTCTGGGGGAAGCTAGGTTAAAAAAAGGGGGGGGGAAGCTGGGGATTTAGCTCAGCGGCATAAGTACCTGCCTTACAAGCAGGCAGTTGTGAGTTCGATCCCCGGTACTGATAAAAAGGAAAAAGACAAAAAAAAAAAAAAGAAAAGTACAACATAGGATGAATAGAATTACCCCTTACATAGGAAAAAAGGGGAAGAAAGAATGTGCATATGAATTTGCTTAGTTTTACAGAAGAAATACAGGAAAAACAAACCGGAAGTTAATGAAATGTTGCCTACAGAATTAGAAGGATGAGAATGAGTAGAGACTTCTTTAGGCAAATTTTTTTTTTTTTTTGAGACAGGGTCTCACTGTGTAGTTCAGGCTGGCCTTGAGCATATGGTGATCCTCCTGCCTCAGCCTCCCAAGTGCTGAGATAATAAGCATGCACTGCTACTTTTGTACATTTAATGAATTACTCATTTAGAAACTTAAAGTAGAAAGAAGAAGAAATGTCAAGTCTCTGAACTAGACCCCTGCCCAAGCAGGAGAGAAAAACTTCCCCAAACAGATCTATTATTGCTACCTGGGGAAGATAGCATCCAACAGGAAGCCAGCAGCTTCCCCACAGAGCTCAACCTGTAGAGAGCTATTCCATGAAAAACTGCAAGAGACATGCTGTGCTCACCAGCACCCCCTGTACCCTATCACCTAGCCTTAGACCCCCTCCCTCCCCTACCTAAACTCCTCTATAAAAACGTGCCCTCACGCCTTGCTCAGGGCCAATGGTCCTTCTACCCTCGGTCTGACCACAGCTGGTCAGCAATAAAGTCCTTGCACGTTGCTTCCACTTTGCCTGCCTCAGTGGTCTCAGAGGGGCCCTGGTTTAGCCCATCATCTGGCGCCTCATGTGAGGAGGATATTGAGGTTCCCAGCCCTAAGGGTCCAATCTCCACTCCTTGAAGCCTGCCTGGGTGCACTGAGACTGCTGTTGACATTGGACTTCTGGCCACCCCCTCGCCTCGTCTTGCTGCTGGTTTTGATCCTCCCTTTGGGTTGGGTAAGCGACATTTTATTTTCTCCTCTGTTGCTCCTTGCTTCCCTTCTCCACCCTTGCTGACCCTAAAGACCCAGTCTGAGTTGTGTGGCAGGAAAACCCAGGCCTGCTCACACTCACCGAACTGCCTAAGGGCTGTCCAATCTCAGAGATGTCTGGTTTGATCGCCCTGTCTAGTCTGCTGTTCTTGGCCTCAAGAACTAGTGGGAGATGTCCCCTCTTTTTCTTAAGTCACCATGGCTAAGTTGCCTCTTCCCATTCCTGTCCCCTCCCCACTGCTTTGCATCCCCAAAGTCCTCAAGCCTCTGTCTCACTCCCGACCTGAAGCCAAAACACCTAATGTACTTCTGCAATTCAGTTTGCCCATCCAATAAGCTAGATAACCAGGCCACATGGCCAGTTAATGAGATATCTGACTTTTTAATCCTTTAGGAAGGACCTTGACAATTATTGCCACAGTCTGGATAAGCGGTCTGAGGTTCCGTATGTCCAGGGCATTTTTTTCTCTTCACCAATTCCCCTCACTGTGTGCCTCCTTTGACCCCACCAACTTCTACTCCTATTCATACCTCCTCCCACCCCCTCTGAGGCTCCCCTAGACCATGCCTCAGGCTTCACCATGACCCCTCTTCTCTGGCCACACCATCTCTCCCTGCTCTGCGCTGATCCAACAGCTCCTCCAGCAGCAGCAGCACCGCCCTTAATTCCCCACCCTCTCCTGTGCTACCTCCTACCCTCCTGTTTCTTCTCAGCAACAACCTCTAAGGCCCAATACCTCTCCCTCTCATATGCAATCTTCACTCCCCTTTAGTCTTCTCCCCGCTAGTTTCCCTTTTGTCTAGTTGCTGGAGCCAAAGGCACTGTCCAGGTCCATGCGCCTTTCTCTCTCACGGACCTCTCTCAAATCAACTGCCGCCTTGGTTCCCTCCTTTCAGATTCATGCGATTATATTCAAGAACTCCAATACCTAGCCCAGACGTATGACCTCCCTTGGGTGCATATTACTGTCATATTAAGCTCTCCCCGGAGGAGCAAAAGCCTGTCTACAATATGGCTCAGGGTTATGCTGAGGTCCACTGCCAAACCAAGGCCCTCTTGCTAGATGGTGCTGTGGACATCAATGTCAGAGACAAACAAAGCCTCTGTCCCTCTAAAGGGGCTCATAATTACTTGCCTTGCTGAGGGACTAAAAAAAAGACAGCTTACAAATTAGTCAGTTATGATAAACTCAAGAAAATTAGTCAGACTTAAGGTACAAATTTGGCTCAGTTTATGTCCTGGCTGACAACCACCCTGACAAAATATACAAGCCTCAATCCAGAAAGCCCAGAAGGACAACTGATTCTCAAAATACTTTGCATCACCCAATCAGGCCCTAACAGTCAAGAAAAAAAGCTCCAAAAAATTGACACTGGCCCTTAGACCCCACAATAGGAATTAATCTCCCAGGCCTTTAAGGTCTATGATAACAGACACGCTGCCCACCAGCAATGCAGCTCTGACCTAGAGTTACTTGCCTCCACCATACGAAACCCAAAACCTAAACCCAATACCAACAATAAGTCCAAGGGGCAAAAAGGGGAACTGTCGGGGCTGGGGATTTAGCTCAGCGGCATAAGCACCTGGCTTGCAAGCAGGCGGGTCGTGAGTTCGATCCCTGGTACCAATAAAAAGGAAAAAGACAAAAAAAGGTGGGGGGGGGGGGACTGTCCCTTCGGGACTCTGCTTTAAGTGTCAACAGTTAAGTGGCCACTGGGCCAACAAGTGCCCTAACTCCCAACCTTCTGCCAAACAACACCCTCACTGGAAGTTGGACTGTCCCTCAGCAGCCAGGCTTGCTGTGGGAGTCCTTCCCAGGGTGCCTCTCAGGACACTCCTGTCCTCTCCAATCTGATCAGTTGGGCCTCAGGTGACTGACACACCCTGAAAGTCTCAGAAGTCCCCTGGACCATCACAAGCACTGAACCTGGGTACCTCTTCTGGTGGAAGGTAAGACTGCTGCATTCTTAACTGATACAGGGGCAGCCCATCCCGCCCTCCCCTCTTTCTCAGGACAGCTGCTTTTAGCTGACATCTCTGTTGTGGGAACTGATGGAGCCATATCTAGACCCTCAAAGACATCCCCTCTCCTCTGCCAATTACTAACCCACATATTTTCTCATGCTTTCCTAGTCATTGCAACCATGCCCTGTTCCACTCCTTGGGAGAGACATTCTAGTAAAACTGTCTGCTACTCTATCTAACCCAGCACCATCTCATGCCTCAAGGCTCTTCACTCTCCCCCTCTTGCCCTGGCCCTGTTCTACCCCCATCACTTCTCCCTTCTTTAAACCCATGTGTCTAGATATCTCTACCCTTTCTATACCCACACACCAAACTCCCCTTCTTATCCTCCTAAAAGACAAACCACACATACCTCCCTCGGTGCCAATATCCCTATGTGACTTGGCTCTCGGAGGACTTACACTATCTCATTGACACATACCCACGGCCACAACCTTCTCACACCCATCAGCTACCCTTTCAATACTCTCATCCTTGCTGTCCAGAAGTCCAATTCACTCCAGTCCAAGACTGGCAAATTGACTTCACAAACATGCCAAAAATTCAAGAATTTAGGTATCTCTTAGTCTGGACAGACACGTTTCCTCGGGATGAGGAGGAGACATCTTCCACACTGGGTGGGTGTCCTGGCTGCTCCCCATTTTCAGGTCAATGGTCTCAGTCTTCTTATTATTTTATTGGCGGGAGGCTTGCCTAATAAGATTTTTTTAAAAATCTGTACTGGGGATCGAACTCACGACCACGGGCTTGCAAGGCAGGTGCTTATGCTGCTGAGCTAAACCCCCAGCCCTAGCCTAAAAGGATTTATAACAGATTTCATCCCAGAACAAGTCCGATCCATTACAGTCAGACAATTCCTCCTGATGACCTGCCACACTGCAGTCCCCCAAGAACCCCATGCTGATCCTGCCGAGACTCTGCTCACCCAGCCACCCACACAGTCACCAGTCCGGCCAGTGCCCCATCCATTTTTTCTTTTAGGTTGCCCACACAGCCCTCAGTGCTTGAAGAAACCTTGGGAAACTACACCCCTACCCCCTCTCTCTCCCTTGATAAAACAACAGGCAGGAATGTCAGGTCTCTGAACTACACCTCCACCCAACTAGGAGAGAAAAAACTTCCCCCAAACAGAT